GTGGGGGGGGGGGGGGTTATAGGTATATGTGTAAAGTGCCTCCAAGTGCCTGGAGGAGGTGTCTCCGTCCGATAAGGTGGGGTTCAGAGGGGTAGCTTAACGCTTTAGCTATTAGATGTATGTATGTATGTATGTATGTATGTATGAGTGTGTGTGTGTGTGTGTGCGTATGTATGGGTGTATGTATGTATATATATATATATATATATATATATATATATATATATACATATACATATACATACACACACAAATGATAGTACAGACTGTTAGATACTTTAAAAACACAGTACATACAAGGACACCTGCAGCATATTCAATTTTAAGTATCTGTCTTTCCAGAGTTAGAATTTTTTTTAAATACATGTATGGGTTGATCAATGTACAGGTACAATGTCATCTTTGCATGAGGCTGTATTCCGACTTTTAGATTTTAGATTCTAAATTAAAGTTCCTTAAAATTTGTTAGTGAAATATAAAACTGGACAAGTGTGGCAAAACACATCTTCAGAATTGTATGCTAATTAGCCTCAACTTGAATTTGAAAGTTAATTGCTGGCAGTTACTACACTGTTTAAAATGGACATCAAATGGATTTCAGAATTCCTTAAATACAAAAATGCAATACAACGGGATAATACAGTATTTTAGTAAAAAGAAATCCGACTTTGTAAATAACAACAAGCTGGTAGCAAACAACTGCCACCATTACGATGTACATAGTCGTCGGCTCTCAATAAATGTCAAGAACTTAGGATACCAGAAAACACACAAAGCATTTAATAGCATTTGAAATGCTGTCAATATGTCAAGTCAGTTTGTGCGTCAAAATGTTTGTGGATCGAAATAAGAATTTACATTGCTGAGCTCTAACCGGGAATCATCATCTATAGCCAGCACCTGAGTCCCTTTTCTAATAATCAGAGCTTATTAATTGCAAAAATGTTTTCTATCATTCATGTCATCAAAATCAATGTCAATATCTTCTGACAGGTCAGACATTGTATAATTTGTATCAATGAAGTTTGTGGTAAGAAGAAAAATTTGTCGCGATGTTAAGACTTCTTAATACGCATCGCTGAGCAGACGGCTCTCTAGATTCAAAAGGTTGCCATGCTTAAGTCATTGTTTATGGGGAAATTTTTTTAATTTTTAAGGTTAAAAGCATTTCATACTAAAGTTATGATCATGTATACATTTTAATTTTTATTTAAAAAATTGTTATACACTATAATTACTGTATGTGAAATTTGAGACGAATATTTTTTTTTTTTTTTGCAAATTTTCTTGATTTCCACAAAGGCCTACCGACCCTAGGGTGAGCAAATATATTTATAGTCAAACTTTTTATATTGCCTAATAACATAGAAAAAGTATTTTAAAATGAATAAAATTCGCGACATCATTTACGAATACATTACAATCCTCACTGGCAGCTTTTGTGTTTTTGTGGCCAAAACTTTTGAAAACCTGAAATATTCTTCTTAACTTTCATATACAGTAATTAGAGTGTTTAATGAATTTTTTCCAATAATTAAAACGTATATATGATCATAAATCGAGTACATGAAATGATTTTAAACTTAAAAATCAACAAAATTTTCCCACAATGACTAAAGCATGGCAACCTTTATAAATATACAGAGTCATCTGCTCAGCGATGCATATCAAGAAGTCCTAACATCACAATGAATTTCTCCCAGTACCACAAGCTTCACTGATTCAAATTATATAGTTTAACCTGTCAAAATACATAACACTGATTTTGATGACATAAATGAAGTAGAAAAATTTTTGAAATGGATCAAGCTATGCGATATTAGAAGAATTATACATTCAAGGAAACTTGGTAAACAATGAATTTTGAACTCCATTTCATGTCCATTTTAAACTGATCAAATAACTTTGCAAAAAGTGTTAGAGGTTACATGAATGGACAGGAAAAATTTTAAATGCCATACTTACGCAAGAACCATCAGAGTAACTTTTCCACGCATAAGCAATTTAATATGTGCTTTGTTTGGTTCTCTTTTCTGAAATTTCCAACTTCAGTTCATCCAAATATTTTTTGCAGTCTTCAGTTGTAAGCTCTGAAATCCTGAAATTATAAGTCTACACATAAATTTTCAGCACATTGTATAATATTAGGAAATGAGGAAATTTTTTCAGGAAAACTTTGGTGTTTAGAAATGACAAATTTGATCAACATAAACAACACACATTTAAAAACATTAATATCACTAATTCCAAAAAAAGACAAGTCTCCTGTAATGTTGAAATACTGTAAAAATGTCCAATTTCATTGCTAAACGTCGATTACAAGATCCTTTCTAAGAAAATTGCGAGACGGCTAAAAAGAGTACTGCCATCAGTTATTAACACTGATCAAACAGGATTCCTTAAGGGACGATACATTGGTGAGAATATAAAATTGCTTTTTGATATTATTGAACATGCAGAAAAAAATAATCTTCCTAATTTGCTTTTTTTCGTTGATTTCGAAAAGGCATTCGATAAAATAAAATGGGATTTTGTTTACTATGCACTAGAAAAATTTGGATTCAAAAATAATTTTATAAATTGGATAAAATTACTTTATAGTGATATTTATATATATTTATATTTATATTTATTTTTTTGTTATAAACAACAGGTTTTCTTTGGAATTTTTTTGCCTTAGTCGTGGTTTACGCCAAGGATGCCCTCTATCGCCGTACTTGTTCATACTCTGTGCGGAGTTCCTTGGTAACGCAGTTCGTCAAACAGACGAAGTAGAAGGCATATCCTATAATAACATACAAATCAAATTAAGTCAATTTGCTGACGACACCGTTTTTTATATTAAAGATTCAAACTCAATAAAACCCATCATGGACATTCCAGATTTGTTTGCTTTAGCATCTGGTCTAAAGATAAATTACGAAAAAAGTAAAATAATGAGATTGGGTTCATTGAGAGATTCTGATTTCAAAATTCTTATCGGAAAAAACATAATATGGACAAATGAGGAAATACGATATCTTGGCATTAATGTTTCGAGTAATTTAGGTAATATATTCAATTTCAATTTTCAACAAAAATATAAGGATATCGATAGAATATTAAATATGTGGAGGCAGAGATCCCTATCCCTATATGGAAAAATCATGATCATTAAAACATTGGTTCTGCCTATCTTAACATTTCTTTTTTCAAATTTACCCGACCCACCAAATTACTTCTTTAATGATATACAAAGTAAAATGTTCAATTTGGTATGGAATGGAAAACCCGATAAAAAAAAAAGAGAAATTATGTTCAATGCCACACGTCCAAAGTTATTGTCAGGCTCTAAAAGCATGTTGGGTAAAAAAATATCTTGGAAAGAACGGCGGCAAATGGAAAATATTTTTTCAAAGCGACCTTGATAAAGTAGGAAACAACTTCATATTTGATTGTAACTTTTCAAAATCGTCCGCAATGCTTAAACATTTCAAGGGTTTCAATAAAGACGTTCTATTAGCTTGGAGCCAGTGTTTTTTTAAAGAACCGAAATCTGTTAGAGAAATACTATCACAGTCTCTATGGAACAATTCCTGCTTTGAAAACGTAGAATTCAATATAAATAAAATTTGGTGGGACAATATCAAATATATTAAGGACATTGTGACCAATAGTAATCGAATTTGTAATTTGAAAGAATTTGAAGAAAGACATAATTTCAAACCGAATTTCCTTTTTTACCATCAAATTGTAAACTCGATTCCAAGGCACTGGAAGCAAATAATAATTGGGAATACAGATATAAATCCATCAAATGTAATAATTGAAAATCCAAATAGTGTGCTGATTTTGGCTTATGTGAACTACATTTGGCAGGTAATTTTAAAGCCAAAATCGGTCCGCCGGACCGATTTTGGCCCGGACCAAATTTTTCCTGACAGGCCCAAGCTAGTGGGATGAGGATTAATCGTCACGTCGTCACTGCAACTCCCAATGTTATTTGCATATCCCCCCACAGCTAGCTTGGCTTGATTTATTATTAGGTTAGTTTGCAAAAACAAATTCCTTTTTCGTCACCGCGAAGATATCGCGCACCGCGATGAAAATTTAATTGTATATTGAAAACTTTCGTAAAACAAGATTAATTAGAATCCAAAGAAAGTTTTCAATATTAAGTACTATGAACAATTAAGCAATTCCTTAAATTGATTAACCTAACTAAACAAACTGAATGTTTAATAGGAATATTCTAGACTTACTTAATTTTAACTCAAGAAACGAAATTAGAGGCCTACGGGCCAGGCAGGAGGCAAGCGGTAGCCGATCATTTCGGTCGCGCTTCGTTTCGGTCGCGTCTCATTTCGGTCGCAGTTTATTGCGAACAAATATATGGAGCGCCGAAGGAGTTGCGAAAACACAAAATTTAATATGCCTAGGCCCTATATACTGTAATTATAATTATTTTATCAATCGGTTTATCATAGGCCTAAAGTATTTTTTTTTATTTCCGTTTTGCTATCTTTCTACTAACATATTTTCTTTCTTTCATTTACAGTGATATATTCATGATTAAAACAATGGAGTTTAGTATGTGCTTCATGCTATTCTTTTTGTTGCGTTTTCATATATTATAATTTAATAGTTATGGTCAATAAAATGTATCTTTGATTTTAATTGAATGAATTGAATGTTGTTACCATCTGAAATCTATTTCATAATTTAGTTAAAACAATAATCATTACATTATTTAATCCGATATTTCTATACAATACATTTATTTATTTTTCTTGCAGCTTCCAGAGTTTGGATAAAACATACAAGAGAATTGAGGGAAACACAATTAAAGAAATAAACGAATAATACACACATTATCATTCTTCACTTGAAATCTTTGATGTCCTTGCGCAGTTCATAAATATGAATATATATATTTATATTATGATAAG